TGCCTGCGGACCCCCAGCCCACAGCAACGGCACACCTGCATGTGGTGCATGTCTGGGAAAAGCCGCTGCCCGGTGACAAGCTCCCACAGAACAATTCCAAACGCAAACACATCGCAGGCCTTGGTCAAGCGGCCATCCGTCAGCAGCTCAGGCGAGGCATGCGTCACGGTGCCATAGGAGCCCGTGTCGACGTGCGAAACAGTCTCTGGCAGCATGCGGCTTAGGCCAAAGTCGCCAAGCTTGCAAACAAAGCCTCGCCGATCGTTGCCTGCTGTCTTCAGCAGCACATTCTGCGGCTTGAGGTCGCCATGCACAATGTTGCAGCTGTGCAGGTACTCCAGCCCACGCGCCACGTCCAGCAAGCACAGCAGGATGGCGGGCTGCAAAAGGGAAGGCCATGATTTGTGCCACATCTGCCCCGAGGGATGCTACAGGCATCATGGCAGGTCTGTGAACCAGCATGACCAGCAGAGCATTTGGGTTCCAGCGGCTCACCAGGTTCCGGCCAGGCGCCTCAGCCTGCTTGAACCAGCCAGCCTTCATGGCATCTGCCAGGGTCCCCTTGTCCGCCAGCTCGCTGACCAGCCACATCTCGTACATCCTGCGCGCAGCGAGACAGAAGCAAGAGAGAAATGAATGGGACAGAGGGGTGAGCAGGCTGATCTGGATGCACATACACGCAGCAACTCCGCGCACTATAAGCCAACGCCTCACCCTGGCTCCAGCACCGCGTTCGGTGCCATGACTTGGACCATGCAATTTGGGTCGGTCAGGTGTGGCACCACCCTGCCTCCGCTGCCGCTGGGTCCATTGCCGTGGCTGCCACCACTGTGTGGAGGGTCGCCGCTGCCGCCCGTCATCGAGGGGGTCCTGTCGTCGTGACCAATACTGCTGCGGTTCACCTCACCATCAGTCAAAACCCGCACCGCGCACATTTTGTAGCCTTGCAGCACGTTCGGGTGCGACAGAGTCAGGCTGCAGGCAGGAAGGCAGGCGCACAGGCAGGCAAGCGGGCAAGGCGAATTAGTGGGCTCGCTGTTGATGCTGCTTTGCGCCCGTGCTCTGCGACTCCAGGTCCAGGCTGCAAAGCGCCCCACCTCAGCAGCGG